TGGATAGATGCTTAACTTTTAAATATATAAGTACAATTAAATCCTCCTGATACCCATTTTCCAGTACAGCTCCTTGAGTATTTATCACAACATAGGCATTTGCACAGAAAACCACTAAAGTTTGAAGACTGGATCACCAAGACCAATATCCCATCTCTAGTAGTGATACCAGCATCATTTGGTTACAGGGAAAATGCTGTCATTTATAACCTTGCCTACAAAAAAGTTAGCAACACATTTTTATAACAGTAATAGGGCAGATTTTGCAACTTTTTACAAAAATGTGCTGATACAAAAATTAAAATATATTTTAGAAATGCTGTTGTTGTCAATTTGCTCTATAAACTTCCCTAATGGTGTTGGCATTGTTTTGAGAAAAAGGTCTGGGCTATACCTCTATACATCCCAATTTCCATGAATAAATCTAGATAGATCTACTCTTTTTTTCTTCTCCAAATAAGTCTTACTTTCAATTTTTATTACCTCTTTTTTGAAAACTGAGCCTTGGGGGCAAAGTTGTTAAGCACTCACATAACCAAAAGGTCAGTTTGAACCCAAAGCTGCTTTGCAGGAGAGAAATGTGGTAGACTGCTTCTGTGAAGATTTACAGCCTTGGGGACCCTATGGGGCAGTTCTATTCTGTCCTATAATAAGGTCACTATGAGTGAGAGTCAATTCGATGGCAACAAGGTTTTTTGAAAAGTAACAGTCTTTTATTTCTTCTAATACCATTTACTTCAAGGTAATCCTCAAATTCTAGTTCTTTTAAAATTTCACTTAAACTTGCTGGGATTTCTACCTTTTAATTCTAGCACTTTGTGATCTGTATCTTTAGGTTTCTAGGTTATTACCTGTTAAACCTACTAATACTTTCTTGTTGTTGTTGTGTGCAGATGAGTTGGTTCCGATTCACAGAGATCCTGTATAGGGTTTCTGAGAGCTGGCTGGTGGGTTTGAACTGCTGACCTTGCACTTACCAGTCCAGTGTTTATCCCACAGTACCACTAAATCTTTTCAAATCAAATAAACATGTATACTTTCTTTTATACTCACTTAAATTGCCTTTCTCTAGACTTTTCCTTGTTTTTCTAGGGCCTTACTTAAAGGGTGGTGACCAGTAGCTTCTAAGGGGATCTGCTAGGCAGGCCAGTTAAATTCTACAGAGTGGTCAGTTCAGAAGGTTATGGCAACTGTTTTGGGGGAGATTCTAAAAAGTTAAATAATAATTCCAGGAAATTGAAAACTGTATTGGTGGAAAAAAGGGCAAGAAAGTTGCACCTAAGATTTTTTTTTTTTTTTTTTCATCACAACAATGTACTTTTTGAGGATGGCAAAGGCTGTCCTACAAGAATTTCACTGGGAAACCTTACCCCATCCACCCTACAGCCCTGATCTTGTCCCTTCAGACTTCTTTTTGTTCTAAAATCTTAATGACTATCTAACAGGATAATCTGAGTTCCTCAAGGACATCAGCTGTTTTGACATGGTATAAATCAGAGTTCAGCAATCTTCATGGAAGGGTTTGAGAGACAGTAACACAATATGCATAAGTGTACACTCCTTGATGGAGGTTTAAGTCAAGAAAGTACAGCTTCACATTTTGATATATATTTTAATAACAGGGTTCTGTGATTTTCTGTAGCAATACCTTTTGACTTAGCCTCATGTTAAGTGACTGTTGTTGTTGTTGTCAGGTGGCATCGAGTCGGAACCGACTCATAACGACCCCATGCACAGCAGAACGAAACAATGTCCGATCCTGGGCCAACCTCACTCCCGCTGCCACACTTAAGTCCATCAATGATGCCACCTGGCCAATCCATCTCGTTGGGGTCTTCCTCTTTTTCTCTGACCCTCCACCTTACCCAGCATGACATCCCTCTCCAGCGACTGTTCCCTCCTGACAATATGTCCAAAGCATGAGAGACGAAGCTTAGACATCCTGGCCTCCAAGGAGCACTCTGGCTGCACTTCTTCTAGGTATTTCTGAAGTCCTGGTGTGGCACTATAGGTTAATGCACTGGACTGCAAAGTCGGTATGAACCACAATGTCAGCGGTTCAAGCACACCAGCTGCTCCTTGGAACCCCTATACAGGGTTGCTATGGGTTAGAACCTACTCAATAGCACTTTAATAACAACAACTAGGTATTTCTAATTGTTTGTTTGTTTTCAGGTACATTTCACTCAAACTCAATCTGTCTGGAACTGAACTCATCGACCATAAATCTGTTTCCCAAATGCTTTTAAGACTCACAATGCTAGCTTTATTGGATAGAATTCCAATTTCTTCTTCCTGAAGCTTAAAGAAGAACAAAAACTACAGCCATTGAGTAAAAAATTCCAGCTCACAAAAATCCCTATGGGACACAGTACAACTGTCCCATAGGGTTTCCAAGACTGCAAATTTTTATGAAAATAAATTTGCCACATCTCTCTCCTAAGGAGCAGCTGGTGGGTTCAAACTTGACCTTTTGGTTAGCAACCGAGCAATTACACCATTGAACCAGAGGCTATTCTGTTTTCCCACAGCATCAATTATTTTACTATTATAGGAAAACAATGCCCCAAATACTTTATTCTTATCTAAAAATTAAGTATTTCTAAGCGTATTACAGTGGCAATAAGCTACTGAAAATGTTTCTTTTATACATTTTAGATCTGATAAATATCAAAAGAGCAACTGCTGATACGGTGAAGCAATCACTTTTTCTTCTATCTCTGGAGGCACATTTCACCCTAAGACCATCCCCTGTTTTCTTCCAGTCTATGTACTCAATTTTTCAGAACCAACCCATTTCAATATTCATGTTCACACTGTCTAAAAAGATAAAGTAGAGAACTAGTATTGCTATCTAAGGGCATTTTTAAAAGTCACCGTTCTAACACTATGAATTGAAGATTTTGTTGACCATCATACTTCTTTGTGCATTCAATAAATACTATTAGGTAATTATTGGGTGAACTACTGGTGTGGCACTTGTAGGATCAGCACTGGTCGGTGAATCACAAAGTCGGCAGTTGTAACCTACCATGATCTTCAGAAAACCTATACAGGGTCACTATGAGTCAGAACTGACTCACCAACACTTAATAACAACAAATTATTGGGTTTAGATGCTGAACAGGATTCAGAGACAGACAATTTAAGTTTCCAGCCCTTAATAAGCTTAAAATCTAATCAAGCAAACAAAACAGTCAGGTGGAGTAGATTCATACTCATGGCAACCCCATGTGTGACAAAGTGGAACTATGCTCCATAGGATTTTCAATGCTGGTTTCAAAAGTAGTTCATCAGGCTTTTCTTCCAAGACATCTTTGGATGGACTCAAACCTCCAAATTTTCAGCTAGAAGCCAACCACATTAACTGCTTGTACAACCCAGGGATTACCAATTTCAAATAGAGAAGCTAAATACCCACAGTTAAAAGTTAAGTAAAGCTCAAACCTATGAGCCTATGGTTAACAGCAAAATCCCTAAACCAACCTTACAATGAGGGGGTCCAGGGAAAAGACCAACCACTAAGGCTGACTCTAGTACCAGACTCTATGTTAATTTCTCCAGGGTACTTTCATATGTTCTTAAAGAACACAAATCGTTGTATAGATAAGGGTAAATCTGAAAAGGTTAAAGAGTATGAAACGGGGCTAGGAAGGAAACTACTTTCTGCTACACACAGCTCAATGTTTGAAGTCACTGAGTGTTCTTGAGAGCTTATAAAGTCTATGCTGAGGTATTTCCATATTTTTTAAAGCAATAACATTTTTGTAACCAAGGGTATTGGAGGTGGGAGGGAGCACAGCTATGCAAATTAAGTTAACAGACTGAAAGCTATCTCCTCCAGTCAGTGATATCATCTCGTTCGTATAAAAGACAAAGAATAAAAGGTGGACTCTGAAAGCCAACAGAAATACTTGGTTACTTTGCTAGATGTTTCAGAAAACCAAATCTGAATGTTAAAAAGCTATAATACTATCTCAGTGTAAGTCAATGGAAATAAATGCCTAAATCTTATTTTGGCTTTACATAAGTTTTTCTTATACTATTGTTCCCATGTTCATTTCTTACTGGTGGTGATGATATACATACATAACTTAGATCTAAATGAGAAATGAAAATAACAAAACCAAAGAATATGGCTGATTAGTACCTTGAATATACTCATATTAAACAAAACCTCACCCTTTTCACAAAATAAAATTTCTTTCAACATAATTTTCCTTTAACAAATTTTTTTTTCTACTATAACAATATATACATGAAAATTCCTCTATGCTAAACTAGGATTCTGCCCCATCCTATTATCTTTAACAGTATTAAATGGGAACTTTGAAATTACTACTAAAAACATTTCAAATCAGTACAAGGGGGCTTCAAAAATTTATAGAAAAATTTCATTATCTTAAATCTAATTTTTCAAAAAAATTTTTGAAGACCCTTTCTAGGAAATATCAGTATTTCAAAAATGAATAGAAATCACAAGCAAGGATGTAAGAATAAAACAGTAAGAAAACAAAATGTTTATGATAAAATTTATAATCATTAATGATTTTTAAAAGAATAAATAATACAGCTACAAAGGACTATGTACAAGCTAAGGAAATAAAGGCTGTTATTTAAAAATGAAAGCTTGGTATAAAATTATATGTATATATATAAATATAGATATTTTTTAAATGGCCAAAAGGGAGACAGAGATACTGATATTTTAGATAACATCTAATAATAATGATGAAAAAAAAAAGTATGCTTCTATTTCAATCAGCATTTTTCTATGTTGGCAATGGCACAACTGAACAATAATACAGCTGTTTGAAAACAGCAACATTAGGAAGACGGAGATGGCTACGGTGAAAACCCGTTTCTATTCTATTTTCTGTAGCTAAACAGGCGATTCTTATTTAGACTTTAGATTAATAAGATTTTTTTTTTGGTTGATGGTTTTCTGGTTTTGTATTTATTTTGTTAATAGTAGTGATGATGTTACGAATGTAACTTGCCTGAGTGAGAAATGAAAGGTACAGAACCAAAAGGATCTTCTGGAGGATGGTTATGTGGAGCAGAAAGTGGGTCTACATTCTTATCTGAGGGTGCTCTCTCCTCGAGCCTGTCTGCAAAAATAAGATGAAACAAAACGAAAAATAAAATAAAAACAAAATGACCTTTAACTTTTTAATGATGTATTGCATAAATAAAAGTGAAAACTAAACACAACCACCTTTTTGAAAAATACAACTTTAAGGGGTAGTCCTGGATTGAATAGATATTTGCTGCAATACAAGTAAATTAAGCAATACAATCTCAGTGCTAGGTTTCATTAAATAAATACAATTAACCCAGTAACTTAGTAACTTAGTCTGGTTCTTTCAAATAACAGGTGTCTTCAATTTGTTCAATATTGGAGCTGAATTTAAGACCAGATCACTAACCAGAGTTGTATTTACGGATTTTCTACAAATGTGCACACTGAACTGCTACAAAATATTACAAAGTGGTCAATAATTCATAAAGTAGGCAAATCCTATATAACAATAGCAATAAAATATAATTCATTATATTTTTTCATTTTTCATATAAATTTGCAATTATCAAACCATTATCACAAGCACATAATACAGATACAATACAAATACTTCTCTGCTACACTGAACATCCTAATGTCAGAACTGATTCATTCATCCAACAAATGTTTGAGCACCTAGTGTGTCCTTGTGTCCTAGGCGCTCTGGTAGCGTAGTGGTTATGAATCGGGCTGCGAACCACAAGGTCAGCAGTTCGAAACTACCAGCTGTTCCATGGGAGAAAGATGAGGCTTTCTGCTCCCGTAAAGATTTACAGCCTCGAAAACCCTGTACAGGGTCACTATGAGTCAGAACTGACTCCACGGCACACAGCCACCAGTGTGTCCTAGGCACTGTTCTAATCACTTGAATACAACATCTAACAAACCAAACTCCCTTCATGGAGTTGATGTGCTAGCATGGAAAACAAGTACTAAACTATATAAATACTAAGAAATACATACAGCTATAAAGAAACATGTAATTCAGGGTAAGGAAGATAGCAGCAGCACAGGTTGCAATGATAAATAGGGTGATTCCAGTATTTGAAATAGGTGAGCTTGAAGAAGGTAAGGGAGTGGCTACCTAGGGAAGAACACTCCAGACAGAAGAGCCAGAGCTCAGGTATTAAGGCAGGAACAGGCCTGGTTTGTTCAAGGTACAGTTGATGTAGTCTAGTTCCCTAGCAATGATCATCCTTCCCCTGCTCTTAAATTCTGCACATAAAACAAGACAACAGTTATTGTTGAGTAATTCTAACTCAGAGTGACCCCCACATGTGTCAGAGTAGAACTGTGCTCCATAGGGGTTTTCAGTAGCTGATTTTTCACAAGTAAATTGCCAGCGGACTCAAACCTCCAACTGTTGGACTAGCAGTCAAGGGTGTTACCCATTTGCAAAATCCAGGGGAGCCAATTCATATTTGTTGATGTTGTTTTTAGCTGCCATCGAGTTGTAGTCTAGCTGATGGTGACCCCACCTGGTAATAGTCCATAGAAGTTTCTTGGTTCTAATTTTAACAGAAGCTGACCACCAGGCCTTTTCTTCCATGGCATCACTGGCTGGGTTTGAACTGTCAAGCTTTAGGTTAGCAGCAGAATGGAAACCATTTGCATCATCTTGGAGCCTTCCATATTTAAGCTAACATATTGACAATTTCTATCAATAATCTATACTGATTTCAATCGAGTTTTAAGGGGTTACAGGGTAGAAGCACTTTAGTGTGGAAGAAAGTCCCCAAGTTAAAGCAGCACCTTCTAGGACAGTGCTCTTCAATCTTTAATGTAGACGCTAATCACCTGGGGACCTTCTAAGATGCATATTCTAATTGAATTACACTAAGACAGTCCTCAGAATTTACACTTCAACAAGATCCCAAAGTGATGGTGACACTGCTAGTCCACAGGCCACATCCTGAGAAGGCAAGGTCCTAGGGTAATACAGTCATACATTATTTAATGTCCACCATAGGTTCTGTGAAACAGGACACTATGTGACTTAGACATTGTGTGAATGTGCCTAAATTGAAAGCAATAGCATTGGTTTTCCACTTCTGTGTTAATAACCTTCTGTTTCACTTTCAGATAGATATTTCCCCTTCGTATCTTGCTGCTGTTATTACTAGCACTGATTTTATCGTTTTAGGGAGTCATAATGCATTCCACAGTAATATTTTTGAAAGAAAATTAAACAGCTCCAACACTCAAGATACGTGTACCTACAAGTCAAGTGCATACTATGTATTTTTAAGTAGGGAAACTTCACATGAGCCTAACGACAAAAAATTACAATATGGTACAGACATAATATAGGCATTTATTATGACTATCAAGACACAGGCTATATATATACTGAACCATTACATGTCTGGCAGAGCAATTGCTTTGAATACAAAAGATGTGAGGTACACTTATTACCTGCAGGAGGCTATTGTATTTTCTAAGTCTGGTTATATCTGCTAGGTACCTGACCCAAACAGACATTGTATAGCTTATGACTACACTTACTTAGACTTACAGTCATGAATTATTTTTTTTAATTAAATTTATGACAATTAAAACAGTAAGACTAGAGAAGTGGCACTGTAGGATAAGTACTGGACTGCTAAGTGCAAAGCTAGTGGTTCAAATTCACCAGCTAAGCAATCACAACAGGGTAACTATGAATATCAGAACTTATTCAATGGCACTTAACAACAACACAGCTAAGACCATGATATCCACATAAAATTTTGGGCTTTTAAGTTTTGTTGAAAATTTACAGATGTGTTTTGTTGAGGCACTCACTGATGTTGAATTAGTGAAGACATCTGACAACTATACAAAACTTTCAAAATCTAGTGCAACTTGCAAATCCAATACTACAATTGATGACAATGAAAATTTACTTCAGCTGTATTTTTCAAGCAATTACCTATATACTTAAATTTAGGAAATGAGCATCAGTAACAAATGATTATTATCTATTAATAAAACAAAATCATTTTCAAGTTTTGTTTTTTCAACATCTATTAAAGATTGGAAAATAATTCATATATCAAGAAGTCCTTATTACTTTGGTGGGTAACCACAAAATTAATCCTTAAGAAGAAATCAAAGATTCGCTATTACAGACAGAGAATACCTATGGTTACCAATTTTATCAGACCACAAATGCACTTAGAAAATAACTATAAAACTACGGGTTATTCCTCATATCAGAATCCTGTTCTTTCCTCATTCTTTCTCCATCACCCAAATTCCAGTGTTCAAAATGGTGAAGATTAAGTAAAGAGGTAGTTTTTGTTGTTAAGTGCCGTCAAGTTGGTTTCATTTCTACTGACAGGGACTCTGAGCAAGGTTTCCAAGGAGCAGCTGGTAAGTTTGAACTGCCAACTTTGTGGTTCAAACTGACCCTGCAGTCCACTGCTTTATCCCGTAGCGCCACACCAGGACTCCTAAAGAGGGAGTGGGAAAAGACAAATGAAAGAGGCTATCTTTCGCCATATATTCAGAGTGACGGCCATCGTTCATCAATATCCAAGAGCTCCAGTCTTTTAAATCAAAACAAAGCGTATATGGATACTTAAGTCTGAATTGGACAACCTGGATAGTCCAAACAGCTAATATATGGTTGGTAGTTTGAGTCACCTTAGAAGAAAGGTCTGGTGAAGTACTTCCAAAAAATCAGCCACTGAAAACCCTACAGAGCACAATTCTACTCTGACATAAATGGAAGCCCTGAGTAGAAATCCACTCAATGAAAGCTGGTTCTGGCTGAGGTCTGAATTAGGGCCACATACCCTTCCCAGAGAATATGCACCATAAGAGCAAGGAAGTCTACATAAAACGTTGCTAGTGGGCTCTACAAGGGTCTGATGAATCATATTATTGGGATAAAGACTAGAAAATCTGCATTTCAACATTCTTTCAAGTTTATACTACAGTAACCAATAGTTCTTCAAACAAAACTGTGAATTATGATTAATATATGTAGAATTAAATCTTCACACAATAGTATATTATCTATGGTAAATCCATTATAAAAGTATATATAATACAAGAAGAGAGAGGGGAATGGAAGAACAAACTGGATGGGAGAACCATTAGGCAGGTTTGCATGAGCTAAAAGGGACAGAGGTAAAGAATGATGTATGCACAACCTTGGAACTACAGGGCTCTAGGATACAGGGATTAAGACATGCTTGGAATGGGGAAAAGGGGGGAAATAATGTTAAGATGCTTGGCTGTCTTTTGAATCTTGGTTTCTCTTGCATACCATTATAAAATAGACACTAGAGAGGGAGAGAAAGGAATAGCCAGATGACCATAGAAAGCTTGTAAGTCCGTCTTCGGCCTATAACTGATTGGAATACCTAAAATGGGGCTATAAAGTCCCCAGTGAAGGAGGCTTCCTGCGGAGACTCTGCATTACATAAGACTATAATGTGGAATCCTGAACACCATACAGAATATTCAGAGGTGGGGAAATTTCCACTTGAAAGGACATGCAGACCAGCCTGGAGCAGCTAGTAGAACAGAAGATAATTCCTGAAAGAAAGACCAGCTGGAAAAATACAAAATAATATAGGCAGACTGACTGATTACTACAACAACAAGCAAGTTGCTCGCCCAGGAGACATCAAGGCAAGTGGTTGGGTCCCCTCAGAGCAAACTCCCTCCCAAGACTAAGACTCAATGGGAATACACGCTCTGATAGGTTCATCACCGATAAGGGGAAGTGAGGGAAAAACAGCAATGAAGCTGCAAGCTAAGCCCTACAACGTTCAACAGACTCCTTTGAACCCAGGTAGACACCTGGTTGGCCAGCAGTGTGGCAAGACCTGGGGACTCTTGGACCCAGAGTCAGTGACATAGCCACTCACTATAGTAGAGAGTGAAGGACTAGAGTGGAGAGTGAAGCGTCCAGCTGATAAGAATAGAGTGCATATGCACAAGAACACCCACACTTGCAGATATACCCACTTGACCTGGCTTTAATGACTAGATGATCAGAGTTCAACTAGAAGAAGAAAGAAGAGGGAAAAAAAGAGTAATCTGATACAATTTGAT